AGGCATACAGGACCGCGTCGCGGCGGCGGCTCGCGCGCAGAGGTGGCTGGCGGTTTGACGGACGGCGAGCGGCCACGGAAGCGAGCTCGCGGGCCACCCACGGCAGGCGTCGTGGAAGCCGGCGGCAGCGGCGGCGGCGGCGGCGGCGCGACGGACGTGAGGTGTAGCGCTCAGGAGTCTCCGAAGGGCACTATGCCAGTGGATCACCGTTTAGCATCGCCACGCAGCGGCAACGTGTCGCAGCGGCCCTCTGACCACGGCAACGCGGCGGCAGTACCGGTAGCGGTAGCGGCATCGGCGGCGGCGCCGCCGCCGTCAGGTGTGACCCCGGCGGAATGGCAGTTGTTCCAGGAGTGGCGGCGGCTGCAGCAGCAGCAGCAGCAACCGACTGGGGCGGCGGCGGCGGCAGCGGCGGCGGCGGGGGCTGCGAACACCCGTGGTGGCAATGACTGCGCGCATCATCTCAACAATCCTTCCAACACAGACAAGCTCAGTCTCCGATAATAGCTGCTATTCTAGGATTGCCTGTAGTGCAGGTGCGTCTATCTGCCTGATCTGTCTGTCTGTCTGTATATATATCCGCTGATAGGTCGTTCTGCTGGAGGCGTTGCCCCCTGTTTTCTGTTGTTCAAGTAAACTGAATCCCGGGGCTGAGGCGGGTTTGGGTCAGTGTTGTTCTTGGTGTTGGGACTTAGGGTTTTATAAAATGACAGCGGAAACCGCCAACTGTCAACTGCTAGTTGGATGTTGTTGGGTTCCAGGCAAGGGGATTGTGGGAGAGGGGGAAAGGCGAGAGAGGGTCCCTGGGGGGCTCCCTCCTTGATGAATTCGTTTGTGGGGGGGGGGGGGTTGTATGTGTGCGCGTGTGTATGTGTGCGTGTGTGTGTGTGCGTCCTGTAGGGATCTTGCTGGCTTGATAAATATTGAGTAAATGCCTCCTCGCCAAGGGAGGAGGATGTTATACACATGTGAACAACGAACAGCAACGCACGAGGTCCTTGAGCAGCTACGTGAAATTGTTTTTCTGTCTTTTAGCTGTCTTTTTCCCTTTCTCAAGCCGGTCTGCAGTACTTCGGTGTTGGTGGTTGCTTGAGCATGTCCCCCTGAAGGTGGCATCTGTTGTCGCTTTTCCTGCGCCGTGTCGCCGACGGATAGGCCGACGGATAGGCCGACACCACCCATGCTGTGTGCTATGTGCTATCGAACCTGGACTTTGATGCGACGTCTAAAATGAGGCCTGGAAGGAGGGCTTTCAGTTTTACGGCTTTGATTTGACTGGGGGATTTTAAGCATCGATGTGGTTGTTAAGCGCGAAAACGCACAGCTGAGTAGAACAAGAGAGTTAAAGTTTGGGGGATGTCTTTTAGTGGCTGCGAGTCGCGCAAGGTTGAGGGGGGCTGCGTGCGAGGATGAGGGGCGGCTGGGTCGTGAGATTGATGGGCAGACGGGGCTGGTGGGGAGCTAGAAATGAGACAGGGTGTACAACGGTATGGTTGGTGGTGGGGTGGGGAAGAAGGGAATGGCTGGCTGTGTGAACGGCGCAGAGTGCACTCGTTAACCCTCCTCAACCCATACTAACGTGATTGCGTGGTTAATGGCATGTTGGTCGGTTTTTCTGGATTCAAGTTCGTTCCTATTTCGCAACGAAAGGCCATGGTTGTTTTGCTGCATGCTGATGCATAACAGACGCATGATAAGCATCTGCCCTTTTCGACTGGAATATCGTGGGAATTCGTTGGTTTGGATGATCATGTATGCGGNCCT